TAACCGTAGGAACCCAAGTGGGAAAAAAAAAAAAAAGAAAAAAAAAGAAAAAAAAAGAAAAGTCCTTTTTCCTCCATATAACAACCCGACCAACTCACCGGTGTGCGTCCTGAGGTGACCCTTGAGCTGGCCATTGTTGCTAAAAGCCGCCGGGCAGTAGTTGCAGTTGAAGTTCTTGGGCCTGGTCTTCTTGATCTGTTTGGCGGCGAACTCTTGCTGGTGTATCCTGTCGACCTCGGCAGCGATGCCGTTGAAGTAGACCGCCTCCTCGAGCCGCAATCCAAGCGGGTCCCAAATCCCGGGCTGAGCGAAGGCCGGATACACCCTCGGCAGCCCAACTTCCTGGCACACGACCGGCGCCGCGCCCACGACCATCGGCTTCGTCGAGCGACGGTGGCGGCGATGGCGCAATGGCCCGTCGATCGACTGTTCGCTGTCTATGCTGTTGTAACTGCTCGACGAGCCGGCCAGCGAGGAATCGTCGCTCTCGCTGTCAAAGTCCTCCTCCGGGTTGAGCTTCGGGCCCTTGCCCGCCACCCCATCCTCGTACTCGTCCACCCCAGGCGATGACCCGTCGACCTTTTTGTCCGCGTTGTTCCAGGGCCGGAAGAAATCGACCGCCTGGCCACTCATTTCGGCACCTCTTGTGTATACGTTCACCGGGTAACGACGGGCCACTTGCGCGCACTCGAAGGGAGGAAGGAAAAAAAAGCAGCACAAAAACCAAAAAACCAAAAAAAAAAAGAAAGAAAGAAAGAAAGAAAGAAAGAAAAAAAAACGATTTGCCGCGTAGTGTGCACGAAAGATGGACCTGCAGCTCGTCCTGTGCGCGGAGCTTCTGACTGGGCGCTCGTCCTGCGAGGGGCTTTTATAAATTTGAGGGTCCGACCGAGGGCTGACAGCGGCGTTGGGAGGGGGGAGGGGGATGAATGGGACGAAGCCAGGCCCCTATGTACGCGGATGGAGAGCGGGGCGTTGCTCATTGGGTGGATGCACGGGAGGGGACGTGAAAAGGAAGCGCGGAAGGGAGGGGGTGCACGCGCGCACGCCGAGGTCGGAAAAGGGCGCACGGTAGGCTCTCCGACAATGGACACCGATGGGTTGGGGCTGCCGCGGCACGAGCTCACTGTCTGCCGATGCTTTGTTGGGATGAGTTTTGAAATTAATCTTTGCGGTGGCGGGGGGCGATGCGTGGGGGGGTTGTTGGGCGCGGGAATGAACGATACACGTATACGTATACCCGTTTGTATGGGTCGAGCGAGATCCGAGGACTTGAGGGCTTTTTTTTTTGTTTTGATCGAGTGATTTATGACGATTTTTACGTGCAGAACGAGTGCACCGAATGATGGAAAATTCCAAGGGATACATAATATATGCTGTTAACTGTTTCTATCGATTTTTTTTTCTCTCTCTTTTCCCTCTCATGCGCTCCCGATCGAGATCTTGCGTGTGTTTTTAGATGCAAAGCTTACTCGTAGGCCGGGGGTATGATGATTTGCATATGTCAACGGGTTTTATCAAAATACACAAACGTATTCACATGACATCACCTATGGCAAGATGGTGAATATAAAGAGACACAAAGTTCTCACGGTATCAGTAGCAGTCGAGTCGAGACTTTCTGCTATCTGATCCACGTACATTTGAGTGATTTCCTCCTACAGTGGATACAACTTGTACCATCAACTCGCATTTTTTCTTTATCAATTGTAAAAAATATACATGTCATGGCATCCCTTCGACTGCAAAAGATAAGTAAAATAAAGAAAAAAGAAAAAAAGAAAAAGATTTGTCGAAACATCTTGGGCGTTTACACGAGATAACGTTACATGTATGTACAGTTTGTCGGACACGATCCTTCGTTGAAAGGATAAAAGTGCTACTGATTATCGGTAGCGAATCTCTCTGTAAAACATGATTGTTCGCACATTTGTACCACGTGAGGTAAAAATCTAAAAAAAAAAAAACAACCGATTGTCCTTGTGTTGACTATAAAACCAACGTTGCCCCGGACTTGGAAAAAAAAGCACCCCAAAAGCTCAAATCCACCTGGAACTAAATTCTTGCCATAAAACCTTGCACGTGAGCTTGACAACCAAAGAAACACCACCCCGCTATACTTATACCCTTCTTTGGCAGAACCGCTCGTGCAACCCCTTTGATACTCGTACATGCCAACGTCAACCGCACGCATTTATACTACATCCGACACAAACCACGGAGAATGAAGCGGAGCTTTTCTATATGTATTTGTCCGTCGTGTACAGCAGCAGCCATTTTCCTCCCTTCCTTCCTCGTTTGGGATTGCACGGGTATATACAAAGTCCACACAATTCACTGCCCTCTGCAGCACACCCATCGTCCCCGTGCACGCATCAGCATAGGTATATTTATATGTATACATAATATATATGTGTGGGTATACCGATTGCAGTGCACTCGAGAGGAAAGAGTATATATAGTGTACACGAGCATAGCGCATCTGCTCCTCCGTCAGGGGCGGTGTGATATTGTGTGTACCCCCCGAAAGCGTATACATGTATAGGCCTGATTCGAGGCGCGCCATCGTCTGCCCCGTCAGCCCTCGTGTGCTTTCATTTTCCATCGGTTCCCCCTTTTTTTGGTTGCGCGGACGAGGGCACGAGACCGAGACTCCGGATTGGACGACAAACTTTTCTCGATCTACAATTGCGCCTCTTGTGCGAGTATATAGTACGTACACATGATACAAGCGATAGCGGTTTCCTTGCGCCAAAGCGCATTTGGTTGTCGTTGGTAAATTTTACATCGTTACAGGTACGACCAAAACTTTGACCCACACACGGTACTCCAATGTCATAGATTTCACCAGAAAACTATTATAGATTCGATCGAACGCGTCTCGGGATCGATCAATTAAAAACTGTGATCTGATGAAAAAAACGGATGAATCGGCACCTCCTGATAAAAAAGCCTTGCTGCGTATACGATCTCTCTCTCTCTCTCTCTCTCTCTGTCGTTTGTACAACAATATTCTGGGTTTTTCCAATCAAAATGATAATAGTAAACGCCACGCGCGCGCACGTATATAGATACACCGAAGCAACAAAGCGCCGTCCGAACCATCGCCCTCTCAACCCTTATTGTACCGTGTGGGTCCTCTGCTGGTCAATATACGGTGTATATGTATGCCTCCCTCGCAAGGAGCAAGTCGTGCGCATACAACGACTCGAATACCCATACACCAGTATACGCATACTGGAGAGGAGCCAGAGGAGGACGGTGTTAGTTTTGTTGCGACAGCGACAATGTGCGATGCTCGAGCTGTACGCGAGGGTGAAGTAAAAAAAAAAAAAAGATCCGGTGAGCCCAGCGGGTATGAATTTCACAACCGGGCCCGGAAGGATGTACCGGTCGATAAAAGCGCGAATAAATGATCCACCGATGACTCGACGAGCCCCCCTCTCCCCCTTTTTTTCTCTCTCTCCACATCTATCCGTCCTTCCCTTTATTAACGCGTATGCGTGCCACATATTTCACAAATTCATCATGGGAACACCGGGTTTACAATGGGCGCGCTGGGTTCATCGATGCGAGCACGTGCAACCTTGCGTTCGATTTTTTTTTCGTTTCATTTCATCATTTTTATTGGTTTAATTAAGTTTAGGCTGGGAATAATGAAAAAAAAAAAAAAAAATCAGAACTCGAATTTCGAGTGGAAAGGGGTGCCTGGAATTTTTTTTTTCGGCGCGTTCAACGCGATAACTCGATTTCCGCGATGGAGAGACCCGGCGACGAAAATTCATTTTCAAAATCAGCCGTTGCTTGTTCGCGAGAGCCTCAAAGTGTGTACGCGTGAGAGTTCCCCCCTGCATTTTCTTCCCGTCCTCGTGTGCACTCCATTAGGTGTTTCCTAAAGAGACGCGTGCGAGGCGCCGGAGCTAGCAAGACGCGCCTTGTCACAAAGGACGACTGAATTAGAGGTGCTCTCCGCGACGACTCCACGGTAGTGAGCGTGAATTTCGGAGTTTAGAGCAGAGCTTGTTAGCCGGGAATTGTTTCGCACGCTCGGCTTCAATAGCTTTTTTTTTTTTTTTTTTTTTTTTTCTACGGTCATCAGATTGATTTTGCCGGAGTCGACATTTCTTTCCGGAATACAGATGGACGCTATCGATACTGCACGAATTGAGCTTTAAACCAGTAAAATATACGCAGTGGTTGAAAAAAAAAAAAAAAAAATTCAAAACGAGCTAACGAGTTTGAGAGCGAGGAGTGCGACAAGAATACGGTAATCAAGGCAATTTTATGACAATGCTCTCGCTATACTCCTTCCGAGTCGTCACTTAGAGGAAGAGTTTCAATGAAAATGCAATCTTACTAATGCAATATACTCTTTTTTTTTTTTTTTTTTCTTCGACTTTAATTCAATTCAAAGCAAGAGCGATCTTTTTCTACTTCTGTGCACTAACTTTCCTGAATTAAAGAGGAATTCAATGAACCCGTTCGATTCTATATCGATGTAATCCGAGTTAATTTTTTGCACAGAACCCAATGACTTAATCACTATATTAAGGCTTAATCTAATTTCAGGTGAGACTTTTAGCAAATGTTTTAATAGTTGTTATAAAAGTTGGTTCTTTAACCTTATCACTAAATAAAGTCTCAGTGTGGTGTATATTTTATTTTAATTTTGTTATTCTTACTCAAATTATTGTACTACTGGCTGGTACAGTAGATTTCTGCATATGAAGTTGAACTTCATCTTCTTATTAAGTACAACAAATTTTTCAAGCATTGATCAGTATCGAAAAAAAAACTCAGACCATAAACATAAAGTACCTTCATTCAAAATGGGACGTTTGATTGCATCAACGTCCTGTCACCGCATCCTTTCTCCATCCGTCTCCCAGTAGGTAGCTGTACTCACGTTCTCCATCCCGAAAAAGCTTCGACACTCCTCCAACGGACTATACCACACACACCAGTCAGTCAGTCAGTCGGTTACAACAATCCCCTCAAAAATCAAACATAAGCCGTGCATACACATCGGAGGCATGAGAATCGCCGACAAAGGAGCACCGCACGTGCCGACGTGTACACGCGTGTCCATACGCATAACCCACTTGCGAGTAACTAGCAGCTATTCAAGGATACACCCATGAAAAAAAAGCCAGGGGCGTCGGCGTAACTCACCCACTCGCACAAAACACATCCACCCCCTCTCTTAAAAAAAAGTTTATATAGAGTGGGGGGAGGGGGCTTCAGGGCTTTTACGAATTTTGGCTTTTAATTAAAGCGCGTACGAATCTTGTTATACGGGGGGGGGGGGTGGATGTGTGCGGCACCACCTTCCGGTCGCGTGGCCTCCTCGGTATACACGGTCGAGCGTCCGGCTATTTACGGTCGGCTGTTCATTGTCCCTCGGCCGCACGCGGATGCGCCTCCGCCTCCGCTCTCGCGCCTTCTGCTCTCTCTCTCTCTCCGTTTTTTTTTTCTTTCCTGGAGGGGGTGGGGGAGGAGGCGTGGAGACGGCGTTTTAAGAGCGTTTGTATTTGAGATTGAGATAATTAGGAGTCACGGCTAGTGAATACGGGAGGAGGTGGCTGACGCAAAGTGTCAATGCGAGAGCTAATTGCGTTGGTATTGTGCGTTTT